GTGTGTTATTGCAAAATTTCACCAAATGTTGCACCAAACGCTGTTATACCAGATTTCCAATATTCTAAAATTGTTTGAAACAAGCCAAAATTTCACCGTATTTTGCGGAAAATGCGCGTTAACCAAGTTGTTGGGGAGAGCAAACGCACTGAGAAGTGTTGAGTATCGCGTGAATGAAATAATTCTTTTAAACTTGTTAGACTGACTTTAGCGCTGCTTCCGATTTAATTTGGGTAATGGAATGCGATATTGTTTTGAGGAAAAGCCATCTGAATAAAGCCTTTTTTACCAGTGGATATCGCCTTTATGATTAGGAATGGTAGAATCCTCTGAAATAAGAATTGATATTGATTAGATCTGAGTCCTCTCCTCTAAAATAATGGACGACAGAATGACTTGGTACTTTCCCTGGCAAATAATAAATTAAGTTTTTTGAATATCAAAACAAAAACTTATCGTTGCACAAGGTATTTTAAAGTTGAAAAAAATCGTATTCGTTGAGATTTTGCCGCTTTCCGCAAAATTTGAGTGAATCGCCATCATATGATAATTGTTACTAAAATCAGTTATCAATTGATATGAATGGAATAGGATTTGCATATTGCTAATATGATGTGAAAATTTGTGCTAAAATAACTTTAACCATTAATTATTGGCCAACTTACCTTTGCAATTCACCTTAGAAACTTTGGTATTTAAGAGTAAATTGGTATATTACTCTCTTTTGATATATTTTCTGCCATTTTTATCATTTATCAAATGGATATGAATACTGAAGAATAACAATATGAGAAAAAAATATCAATATCTTATTTATACCGCATTCTTGATTAGTTTTATGGCAAACCTCATCAACTGGTTTTTTCTAGCCATATGAACGGCTATAATCATCCGAATTACTCGCAAACTGAAAAAAAATCTTTTAGCCGATTTGCAATAAACTTATATGTAACAAATAATTCTAAAAAGAACGTAAAAATGAAGAAAAAAAATTGAAAAGGAATTTCCCAGCATATTTAATTTTTATGTGTACAAATCGAAATTTAAAATCGAACATTTATCATATATTTTGAATATATTTTGAATATATATATAAAAATTGTGAATGGTGTCATTTGATTTTTTATGTTCTATAACAGATCATTGTGCATGAAAAATTAGAATAATGGCATATCGGCTTATTTTAAATTTTTTACATTTTTACGAATTAAAATTAAATATGGTTTTCCCAGCCTTGCAAGGATATATTGTGCTTGAAATTTTTTCATTCTTCGTTTAAAAAAATAATTTATTGGGCTAAAATTTTGATATTAAAATTAACTTCCTAATGAAATGAATTATGCAGACAACTGCCATTTCATTTAGAAATTCAATTAAAATTTCTTTTGAGAATCCGAATATTAGTATTAATATTAGTATTAGTATTAATATTAATATTAATATTATTTAATATTAATAAAAGATTTAATATTAATATGCAAATTCCTTTTAGCATTTTTATCCTAAAAAATTTACTGAGATAATATTATAATCCACGATTCGTGCTATTTATTTTAAAAATCACTCGATTTGCAATATATTTACATAAAAAAAATAATAAAATAATAAAAAAACGTAAAAATATAGAATTTTTTATCATATTCAATTTTTATGCTCTTAAATGATTTCAATGATTTTTAAGAATTAATAATTTTTAAGAATGCTTAAAATTAATAAAATAATAGTAAATGCTTTATAAAAATTAGAAATCTCCATTGTTAAATTAATAAATAAATCAAAATTGAAAGAGCCAAATTAGCCAAAAGAAGATATTTTCGCGTAAAATATTTCCCAAATTCCTTTCCTTTATTCTTTCGCTTCCATTTTTCTAAGTATTTAATATATATGAATTCTAAATATTCATAAATATTTAAATTTACATTGTGAATTGTTTTTTCGAAAATGGCTTTTTTTTAGAACTGAATTCAATGTTTATTTACTAGTTGATTTAATTAAAATCCTTACAAACTATTCGTATAGAGAAATTTATCTTTTAGAGAAATATGAAATTGACTACAAATAATTAGTATTTTATATAAAATATAGAATTATAAATTATATATTCGCAAAATGAACATTAAACAGCATTGAAGAGTCGAAAATCAATTGAATAACAGTAGGATTCTCAACAAAAATTTTCCAGAAATATCGCAGAAATCAATGCCACTGCATTGAAACCAAAAAGCCAAAAACCAAAAAAAAAAGTCGGATTTATCAGTAATATTTCACAAAAACGCTAATCCCTTTCATAACAAAAATATTCTACGATATTCTATATTAAATTACAGTGACAGTGAAATAATAAGAAGGTTCAACACGAAGGTATATGAGATACAATTTTTTCAACAATATAATTTAAAAATATGTGAAAATTCATAAAAAATTATAGCAACCATTTTCCTTATACATCGATGCGCTAAACATTTTTGATAAATTTCTGATAATCAAAGAAACGTTGTTGATTCGATAGGAATAGAACACAGAATACTATAATAGTTACCGTGAAAAGATTACCAATGAATGAATCCTGAAAACCGGTTTTGTGATTGCTTTAAATAGTTGTCGGCCATAAGACTTTCAACCATTCGCACATTCAGAGATGTTCCCTTCCGCTGTTACTTTTTTCACAATAGTTAGTGAATTTTTAAATTCTAAGAAATTCTAGTTTCTATGAGATAATTCTTTTTTTCCATCTATTTATTGGTAGTGCGAAAGTTTTCTCATGCTTCGTTTCGAATAATTTTTTTTCTTGAAAACAAGTCGCTTTCGTGATAATTCCATGAAAATTTATGGCGATTGAGAAAGTTATCTCATAAAATAATAGCATCGTATCTAGTCTTATAATTTTATAAGGTATCTAAAAAATTTTCCTTATTAAAGGTTTTTCTTCAATATGTTAGTGCCGCGAGTGAATGTAAGCATGGAGAATGTGCATATGGCGAGGAGATTGCTGATTTTGGTTGCCGCAGAACTAATCAAAAATGTGGCGAAAATATGGTATTTAGACTAATTTCCAAAGCTGTTCGTCTTCAGAACTCATTTCCAATATATCAATGCTGGCAACGATGTATTTGTGCTAAAAAATATTTTGCTGTAAGCAACGGGAAATGCATCAAAAAAGAGTTTCCTAAATACCAAAATACAGCTAAGGTAACTTTGTAAAATTCTATATAATTTAATTTTACAAAACAATTAAATGTGGCGAATTTTCATAAATCAATTTAAAACAATTAATTAATTAAATAAGTGGAAATAATCTAATCATTTTTTCTTGCCTTTAATTTCAATAAACGAAAAATTAATTTAAAAAAAAAAATCTTGTAATAATTAATATTTAAAATGTTGAAAAATATTGGAGAGCGAAAGGGTTATACAGTCAATAAACCGTGCAAAACATCGTCAAAAAATTCTTGTCCAATGCTAAATTTTGTGAAATCCAATAGTTGTTGTTGAAATTTATCAAAAAGTTCCAATTATTTTTGAATATAGAAATATAGAAATATTTATTATAGAAATATAGAAATATTGAATATAGAAATATAATTCGAGCACCAATTATTCAACGGCGATCATTTAAATTTTGAGGAAAACCTCAATGAAACCTTTCACGACCAATCTTTCCTCTGTTCGAAACTCCTTGGACAACGATGCGGCATTAATATGATATTCATTTTCAAAGATATTCATTTAAATGCAACGTCTGAGAGATTTTCTTCGAGCAATGAAATTTGTTGGCTGAGATGTGAATGTAAAAATGAAAAATATATTGGAAAAGATGACAAATGTATTGAAATTCATCAACAAACTATTGCAAGAAATAATCCGACAACTATTGGATTCGAAAAAAGTTCGGTGAGTTATTCTTCTTTCTTACTTGCAAAAAGAATATATGCAAATAATATGAATTATGTGTTGATTAACGAACGATTGATAATTTTTATTGAAGGACTTTTCATCGAATAAGCTTAGTTCACACATGGATTCACACATTGATTCATGTTCATCGGATCACTGCTAAGAACGAAATGATTGAATAATATTATTCCATGATATCGTTGAAAAATTTATAGTTATTCTTTTTTTTCTACACCATTAAACCATTGCAAATCGTTCTTCTAGAATCATTCACTAAATGAATCGTTGAATATACTAATTATTATATTTTTATGATCGAAATTTCAAATGAAAAAGAAGAATGATTTCAGACAGCTGTTTTTTATATTTTAAATTTAAACATCAATGAACGTAATAATTTAAAGATCAATCTTCAGCCTATTAGCGATGAAAGAACTTACAAATTGGTGATAAAATTGTTGAATATGGTTGTCAAAAAACTGCTAAAAAATGTGGGACTAATATGATTTTTAAAACTATTTCAAAAACACTCTTTCTCGAGTCCGTAGCCTTTTTTTATCGATGTTTTCAAAGGTGCTCGTGTATCGATAAAAAATATATTGAAAGGGATGGGCAATGTGTCGAAAAAGTATGATTCTCGTATTTACAAATAAAATCAAAGAAATAAATAATTATGGAATTATTTTGTTAAATAATTCCAAATAAACATATATGTACAAAAAATCATCAATTTGCATAGGCTTCATGATTTCACCTGGGGCAATACATATTACAAAATGCCAAAACACTTGCAAACAATATTTTAGGAAACTCAGCGAAATAGCCTAATATTTATTTATAACACAATATTTATCATATTTATATTGAAAAGTTAACATTTGAAAAAATTGAGGATATTTGAATTAAATGAGGAATTTCATGCAATTTTAGCAATTTTATTTTTTTAAATATTTATTAAAATCTTATATGAATTATCGTTATTCAAATTTAGACTATTTCGAGCCATAATATCAATTCGGCAAGCAATAATGTGAATTTTGCAAGTAATGGTGCCAGTTCCTACGATAAATCCGTATGTTTGATGATGCAAGGACGAAAGTGTGGTATTCATATGATATTCAGAGAAATTCAGCCAAGTAACTCATCGGAAAGTTTTAGCTCAAATGATAAAATTTGTTGGCTAAGATGTCGGTGCGAAAATGAAAGTTATACTAGAGAAGGTGAAAAATGCGTTGAAATTCAGCAACGAACTGCGATAGCAAATAATCCAACGGCCGTTGGAGAAATTCCGGTGAGTGGTTCTTTTTTGCCTTTCGTTAAACTAATAGTTTTATTTCAACACATCGTTTCTATTAAAGATTCATTCTCATTCGATAAACAATGAAAGAAATTACAAAGTTGGCGATCAAATTTTCGACTTTGGTTGTCGACGAACAAATCAAAAGTGTGGAACGAATATGATATTTAAAACTATTTCGAAAGTGCTCCTTCTCGAATACCCACAACCTTCGTATCGATGTTTTCAAAAATGCTCGTGTATCAGCGAAAAATATATAGAAAATGATGGGGAATGTAGAGAAGGGCGTCATAAAACAGAGATAGATTGAATAATTTCAATAAATGATTCTGAAAGAAAAGAAATTGAGTTTGAACCTGAACTCCAGTGCAATTACACGAAAATCCTTTTTTTACGACTATCTCCCTAAAAATTTGGCCGAGAATTTCTTGAAAAAGAATCAACAAGGTTTCGCGTTTTTCGAATATTTTTTTTGTGGCTTCTTTCATTTCCTTCAAATTAATGAAGGATTTAATTTATTATTAAATGTAATCAATAGTTGTGTTAATCTTTTTTTCGAATTTTTGAAAAAAATATTCTTTTACTTTTATTCGATCAAAAATTAGTTTTGCGTAGATCAAATCCGATTTTCATGTTACGAAAGCGATTGATTTTGCCTCTGATAATCCATGTGATTAAATATTTTTTTCATAATAAAAATTTTTCATAATAATCGGTGCTTGCAACTGAGGAACAATTCATTGAGCCATTCTATCCCCAATTGTAATTATTATTGTAAAATATTTCCTCGAAAGCTACTGAAGATTTCGAACTCTACAATGAGATAAATTAAATTCATTTTTCTCTTTATTTTCTATTTTAGTTTTCACCGTTGATTTTATCCTTTTGTATTTGACAAGATTGTATTCATGTTATCGAAAATCCGGGTAACTTTAGAAGATTTGCCCGTAATTCCCAAATAGCTGCTCTATGGTGAAATATTCTAGTCTTTCTGACAATGATTATGCGTTTCCCAGTAGTATATTAGATAATTATGCATTCCTGGCTCAGTAAAGCGATGATTCAAAATTATCAAAAGAAACTATTTGTCGGTTTACTGCAGGCGTGGCGAGGTGTTTGCGACTGCATCCTGAAACGCAAGGACGCTTATGGACATTGCAAGCCAAGCGATCATTGTTCTTTCACGTTCTTTTTATATTTCGATTGGATGTCGCCTGCTTGTCGAAAATCGATAGCAGTTTTCCTAAAAAGCCTTGGAATATCATCGAAATTTGACGCATCGATTCATTTTATTATTTATCAATTTCACTATGGAAAATCCCCACAAACAATGCATAATGCAAAAAATTTTTGTAAAATGATAATTTTTGAAAATTACAACATAACATTTTCTCAAATTTTAATCAAATGTTCAAATGTTCACTCGAATTTTTTTTAGGAAAGCGACAGTATTCTCAGTGAAACTTTACACGACCGATTTTTTTTTCCTCAAAATTCCTTTTAGTAACAATGCGGTCAAATAATATTATTAATATAATATTCAAGAAAATTCGACTAAATTCTAGCATCAAAAAAAAACTGAGAGTTTTGTCTGAGAATTTTGTGAGTTTAGAGTTTCGAAAAATATATTGGAAAAGGTAAAAGGTAAAGGTAAAAGGTAAAAAAAAATTTATTAGCTAAAATGGTAGAGTAAAAATGAAAAGCATATTAAAATAAGTAAAAAATGCAATAAAATTCAGCAAGAAACTTCTAACTTTTCTGACAACTATTGAATGATTAAAAAATTCGATGAGTTCTACTTTTTTGCTAAAATGATATTTTTTTTAAAGATTCCTCGCCATTACTGGTTAAACTCGCTCTACTGGCCCGTCGCATTGGGCAGTATGCGAGAGAGTCCATTGGCGATAGAGATAGGTGAGTCGTCAGCATCATCCGGATTTGTGTACAGGTTTATTCCTGCGGGAAATCGAACCTCAGCATCGGCACTCCTAATTAAGCCATTCTATCCTCCTCCTTCTCCTCCAAAGAAAAAAGTCGTTGTTAAGAATAAAAAATTGCTTAAGGCCAATGAAATCAGCTGAGAATTACGCAAATTTTTTGGTTACTTGTGCAATCAGAGATCATATTAATTGATTCGTATGAATACTGATGGCAATGACAGTTTTTTTTTTCATCTCGTTTAATATGTGCAATTAATTATATTTTTATATTTTTTGTATATAAATTTAAATTTTTGTAATCCATATATTTTTTTACTTACAAAGCATTGAAGGATTTCTCAAAATTTCTGACTTCAGAGAAATATTTAAATATAGAAAAAATTCTAACCAATAATTTCATAATAACTCAGCGCATTACTTACTGATTTATGCATTTTTGCCTGCGATATAAATATAAAATTTTCTAATTTCTTCTTTAAATCGTTAATTTTTGTTATATTTTCTTCTCCTTTTTTTAGCAATAATTGTTATTATTTATTATTTTATCTATTGTTATTAATTCTCGCACATGGCGTTTGTCGCTCTACTTGGCTGGTTTTCAATAAATAAATAATAATCTTGTATCAGTTATCGCTCTTCACTTATTCAAGGATAAATTCACAAAATATATTGTGCAAAACCTGATAATGGATTTGATAAGAAAGAAGAAAAAAATGCGTTTTGGTTTCTATTAAAAGAATGAATTCTATTAAAAGAATGAAAAAGAAAATCCAACACTTTTAATATGAATTCCTTTATTTTATCATTACATACAATAATCAAAAATGAAATTTTTATATATTTTTGCTTAAATAAGTAAAACTAAAATATTTCATTCTTTTTCAAAGCGATTAATAAATACTGAAAATTTTTTCTTGCCAAAAAATTCTTCGAAGGAAAATCATTAAATTTTCATAAAATTGATTTTAATGAAATTTATTTTTATTTATTTCCATAGCTTTTAAGATTATTATTGTGCTTATCATTACAGATTGCGCCAATATCGAAATCCAATATTTCCTATATTCGGCCAGAATAAGTGCAAATTTCTTAGTGGAATAAATCGAATTCATAACTCTTTCACTGATTATCGAATGAATGATGAATAATGAATTTTTTAAAGCATTGACCATAACTTGGCAATTAATAGACGTCTTAATAAGCCTTAATCGGACGAATTATAAAGGTTTTTTAAATTTTTAAATTCAATATATCGATAATATCAATGAATATAAATGTAGGCTTAAAAAAAACTATTTTTTAATCTAATATAATTAAATTATAATTTTGTACAATTTGAAGAATTCGCGAAGAATTCTCCAAAAAAATGCTTTTGACAAAAGGCAGAAAAAAATAAAAAAAAATTTGAAAAATTGATCATCAATAAACCAAAATTTCCACTATACAGTCGCTCGAAAAAAAAGAAGCCAGTAAATAGAAGTTTGGGAAAATTTTTATGAAAAAATTCCGACAAAACTTCGCTTTTTAGGATGTTCCTTATATTCCTTTCGAAATTCCTTTCGAAGGATGTCTGTAATATTGATTAACTATGACTTAATTTTCTTTGAAAATTTAATTGTTGGAATTTCGCACTCATTATGATTCGCACTTAATAAAATTTATTGATCTGCTTACAAATGGGGAACTTGCAGACGCGCATACATATACATACACAAATGCCTAAGGGTTCTGTAAAAGTGCCAAAGGAAAAAAATTGAAGAGGAAACAGGAAATATGAAAAACATGGAACAAAAAGTTTTTTCACCTATAGAAAAATAATAGTATAGTCAATAAAAGATTAATGCTAAAGAAGAACGATCTACAAGCTAAATCCTTCAAATAATGTACACTCTATCTTTAATGAATATACTTATTATTGTGGACGAAGTAATGCTAGAATACTGGGGAAAAGCAATCATATTTCTAAAAGAAGGACAGGATGTAATGTAACTATTATAGAGGTATTAGGAAGATTTTTGTCTCTTTTCTACTGATCTATGACGGCTTGAAAATCGACATGATGCGTAACAATTAAGGAGAACTGAGGAAGAAGGAAATGTTTTAAGAGAAGATCATTCGATTCATAAAGGTATTTTATCAGCATAGGTCCAAATATTTGAGGAACTGACAGAATCCTCCTGAATAAGAGCTGACGCCCGTCAAGGTTGTGTCCTTTCCTCTATAATATTCATTTATGCGATAGACTAAGTTAGAAATACCTTGCCGATATTCAAGAGATGTTCAGTTCAGTATAAGAGTATAATATCATAGATTTTCAGTAAGTCAATGTATTTTTAGGTTGAGTCGCATATCGATAAGTGAAGCGAAATTTGAATTCAGTATAATTATGATGAACCTCTTTTCGTCCGATACCCTGCGCAAACATCTATTCTTATATTATTTTTCAATAAATTTTATTTTAATTATTCAAATTTCCAGATTTCGAGATTTTAAATTTTTCTTGTTTCCAGTGTTACACGAAATTTCCTAGCAAAAAACGAAATTCTAGCTTCCTGAAAAATTTTTGAAATGCATTCGTCAAATTTTTCTTCTAAAAAACTGAAAAAAAAAACAAAAATATACATGCACAATAACAATAATATTTTGGTGAAAACTGAGACCCTATAATTGCTTTTAAGCAATTGATAGCCTTAATATTTTAGTTGTTTCAATTAAAAGAGATCGGATTCCGCAGTGTTTCTAACCAAATATCAAACATTTACACTGTTATTTTAATATTTTGTAGTCCAAAAGGTATGACTGGTCTGGCTTTAGTTATAACTATACAAATTAACTATATTAAATTAGCTTTAAGTATATAAATTATTTTAAATACTTTAAATATTTAAATATTTTTAAAAAAATTATGATAATATGAAAAAATTATGATAATAAAAATTATGAATTACATTCATCCAAATTTTTTACAAATTTAATAAATAAAATTGGATAAATTAGTATAAAATTAAGATAATTATTATTAAACTATTTTACGAACTATTTTAAACTATTTTTTTTTGAAATTAAATTTTTTATTTAAATAAATTTATAATTTTATTAAAAATAAGTTTAGATCGATGCTTCGCATATTGAATAGTTTCAATTTTCATCCATTCTTTTTATTTAACTATTTATTGATTTAATTAATAATATTTGATCTAATTAACATTAATTAATATCAAATATTGCGAAATATTGTGACTATTTTTAATAAAATTATTCAATAAGAAGAATAAAGATTGCATCAAATTTGTCATATTAACTATTTTCAGTTTAAAAAAGAATGAAAAACAAATCGTCAATCGTCACTCATTTATTTACACATCAATAA